GGTCTATCGCACAAATATTCGAACATCACTGTAGTTTCGAATTTCGTTTTCTACGTCCTTAGTTAAATATATAAGATATTAAAAAATGTTTCGTGGCATTTTGCGTTTTAATTAGTACTTAACAAAAATGCAAAATTTTCTTATATATTTTTTTAAATAATAAGAAACAAATGCTTTTATGACATGTCATAAAGTTTGTCATAAAGTTTGTCATAAAGAATGTTTTAATTATCTAAATATTTAATTAGATATAAGAACTTGAAACTGATGTCTAAATATTTTTGTGCGACAGAGAGTATATGTATACATATATATATATGTCGAACATAATATACATATTATATTTATCATTGCCTCTAATCCGTGATAACGAATTAGAGGATAGATTATCGCTTGATGTATTACGATAGGTCAAGAGTGTCGAGTGGTCGACGATAAACGTGACGGGGCTTGCATAATAGCGAGCGCGCATCTGCGTCGCGATCGCGCAAAAACACGCGTGTCGCTCTTCACGAGAATTATTCTCGGCAACATAATATTTATACATATACAATCCCGACGGGGCACGTATGTACGACTGTGACCGCGATCGAGGTCGCGGAGGCGATTCGTTAATAATTCGTTATCGCTGTTGTTACGTTAGCTCGAAAGAGACAGATGGAGATAACAAAGCCTTATTCGCGCGCTATTTCCAGCTTTGCGGGAACCCGGTCTGCACCTAGCAACGCCGCGATTATTACCGCGAACCGACGGCGCAATTCGCGGAATCGCTGACTAAATCGGTTTGGTCGCGCCGACATAATAAATCGCCAGTGAGTCGCTTGGATAATTCGAGAAACAAACACGTGCGACGAGAAGATGCGAGTGTAAGGAGAAGTTCTCTTTAGCGCGCTTTGATAGCGCGTCATTCACGATGACGGAGCGAACGGGAGAGGTGTATGAATAAGTGTGTGTATTTTGTGTATATGTGTGTACGTATACATGAAACACTTCCTAGAACGTAATCTGTCTCTCTCCGGTGCCGAACAACCGGACTCGAAACACTGTGTATCGGTGTTCGGTTACGAAAACTTATCCGTTTGTTCGTACGCGACAACCTGCTGTTTGCGCAACTATGTTAGATCAGATCCTGTAACGCGGGCGCGACATACAGATCATATGTATTGTATTTTACGATGCCATTTACTTCGGCGGGGCGTTACACGATATCTCCGAGTTCAGCCAGGTGTTTCTAACTAAAACTGCGACGTTGATGTTTGAATAGGCAGGTGCAAATTATGAGATATCGCTCTTCGAGACACGCATAATAAAAAGTTGTGTTAATTTAACAGCAATATTTCGTATACTTTATAGTATGCGAACATGTGTACACCACAAAGATATTATTGATTTATTGCGTAACTGAACGCACACACACAGTAATCATGATCCTTACGTTGAAATCGGTTGTTTTTCAACTGTCGTATCGCGATTTATTATTATTCATGTTTACCCAACATTTTTTTTTTAAGAATTATCTCTGCTCAATTCCAGCGAGCGCAAAACATTGATATGCGAACTGAAAAATATTTATTTTATACGCTTCATCTTCAAGCGTTAAACAAAAACTGATTTATGCGCGTAAACAGATTGAACATCGCTGTTAATCTCTCTCTCGGTGTAGCGAGAGATTAAGGCGTATTTTGCGGTTCTAGTTAAATGTTAAACTCGAGAACGACATTCGATCGTCTCGCGGTTACGTATATCGCGATATATCGCTCGAAAATATTTCGCTAGTTATTTTTGCACTAAAAATACTAGAAAAAAAAAAAAAAAAAAAAGAGAGATTTCGGAGCACCTCGTGTTGTTGATGCTGCGGTTTGTGCGTCACTGCGCACACTACGAGATAACAAGCAGATTTCACGGTATTTTTCTCACATGCTCACGTGCTCGCGAATTTGGAGGCCCCGGTATGTGCAAAGCGTCACGTCAAGGTTAGATAATAACTTTCTTGCATCAGCGCGCGCGGCAAAGAGATACCATTCTCCGATAGCGCGCGATCGTTGTGTGTGTGTGTGTGTGTGGCGCGCGCGTGCGTGCGTGCGTGCGTATGCTAACTGCGGAAACCGGTTAGTGCGCACTAAATTGGACTGCGGACTACTATTTTTTCGCCGCTGTTACGTCCAACTTAATGGCTTTCACGTGTTCCTACTGCCGCGTTCTTATTTTTATTCTCCGAGTTCAAGCGTGCCATTTCTTTTTTTCTTCTTTGTAGGTGTCTCCGCGGTCGACTGCGAGGAAATGTTTCGTTGAAAACGAAAGTGGCCCGCAGCCGCTCGTCGCGCTTCCTGCTTTTTGAGGATTTTATTTTATTTTTTCTCATCTATACGCATTCAGTGTTTACTTAAAATATTCGTACATAGCGACACACGGGACAGCGTATATGTAAATAATATTACATTAATCTCACAAAAATGTATGAGGCGCGGGAATTAACACGTCTGAAGATTTAATTATTCAACTGATCAGAATTTCGAATGAGAAAAGTTGTTTTGTGTGTGCGCGCGCGTGTGATTTTCTATTTTGATATAAAATCTCTCTCTTCGCATAGGTTTTATTCATTTCGACAGCTGTACAGACAGCATGCATAATGCGATCGTTGTTGATAATAACTTCCTTGGCGAGTCGTGCGACTGCTCACGTGTGTTTTCAACGAGGCGCGAGTATCCGCGAGTTGCCAAACGCGTCAACACGCGGCGTAAAAAAAAAAAAAAAAAAAAAGGAGCGGCGGCGCCACGGCGCGCGTTCTTCGCCGTTTATCGGCTCTCGTCTACTTTTGTTGACTAATCGCAGTAATGCGGTGTAAACAGCGTTATTTACTTCGTGTGAACGTTTTCGAACGCGCAGGCGCGCTATACGTGTCTGTCGCAACTGTGTTTTCATAACATGTTACATAACGACGTTAGTCATCGCGCGCTCAGTGCAACCGATATATTCTATCATTTGCTCTAATGAAGATCTTAAATACCGTGACAATGGATCGAGTAGACTCGATGCGAGATAACAGAGTGCTTGATAACACAAATTTGCAATGCGCTTTTTATCTGCAACTGACACTCGAAAATATGCTATTATGCTATTTGCTGCCGTGTTGTGACAGCTAAAAATAGAAGTACGTCTGACGCCAAGAAATTTTATACAAACAATTAAAAAAAGAAAAAAGAGCTTTATGTATCTCACTGATACGAGTTGCTTTTTTCTTGTTAGATATCTTAGAGATTAAATTGCAATCGGTTTGGAGAGCGTTCTTTATTTGGTCTCTTTAGAAAGAGATAAGTTGTTTTGACTAATTTTAAATTTACTTTTGACACTCGTAAATAGGTACAAATGGCCTATTTAAAATTTATCTCGACTCTTTATTGAGTGAGAATACACAAGGCTTGGCCGGTCTACGATCTCTTAAACGAATATAGTAGATTCTAAACTTAGGAGAATAATAATAATCGCGCCAGGACCCGTGACATCAGTAAACCATCTGAATAAACATATTGCGTAATATCTGAGCAACATAGTGAATACGACGTATATATTTATGGCGTTTAAAAATTTCCGTTGTGCGTGACGCAAAAACGCTTTTTTTTTCACAATAAAAACCACTATGCATATTTTTCGATAACGGGAATCTGCTAACTCGAAGGTGGTGCATAATGCACAACTAACCCTCGAAAAGCGTCGTTTGTCTCCGACGGTGCGCAATATTTTCGTGACCCTCGGCTGCCATTGCCAAACACAACCAACACACAAGCGACGATAGAGGGACGTTCTCGCTAGAGTGGAGGCCAAGGTCGCGGACAGTTCCCCACTTCTCTCTCGCTGCTGTGTTGACGCCTATCGCACGCTCGCCTGCTCGTCTTCCTGGTGACGCAACAATGTTGCACAGCTCCGACCTTTATGGACGTCTTTGTGATTCCCGCTCTGCTTCTCTCTCTCTCTCATTCTCTCTCTCTCTCTCTCTCTCTCTCTTTCTCTCTCTTTGACTCTCGCTCTCGTGCGCGCGCACCGAGTATCCTGAGCGAAGCCACCTCGCTGGCGCCTGTTGTCGTTCCGTTTTATCGGTTTAATTTGCCGCGCCTGTAGTAGAATCTCTCCTACATCGTCGTAGTCAGAGCGCCATTGATTCGTGTTATGTCAAATGTGTTGCGCAACAGAGAAGCCAGTGTTTGTTCGCAGATGTCACGAATATGCAATCAGACGAGGACTGTTGATTTATTTATGCTTATTAACAGAGAGACATTAATTGATGAAATATAAATCCATTACACAAAAAATTCTTGACTTGAGATTTGTAAACAACTGACAAAATATAAATATAGAGAGACGCGATTTTCTCTGTTTTTAGTTTTTTAAACGACGAAATTCGTGAAGAATTTAAAAACATGTAAATCAGTTTTTATTTGTATAAAATGAAAAAGTTCGTATTTTATCTACCTCAATTTGATGAATAGTTTGCGTGAAGGTTAGGTTAATTGCGTTCTTTTGAGCGCGAAACTTAATCCTGAAGGTTTTTTGAAACGATTGAAAAATAGGACTGAATAAAAATGGACACAGAAACGCGCGGGGATACGACGTAGAAATATTTCGTGACCGCTTTCATCGTCGCGCATGCATAAAGGAAAGCACAACGAGGGTCGTACGTCCTTGGTTGTCAAGGGACAAGAGAGGGGTCCGGAGGTTGTGTGTTATGAATCGCGAAAAAAATTCACTGGAACACGAACTTGTTTGTCGCGGGAGCTCTTTTAAAGAGTTCGTTCACGATTGTAATGACGGTGCATATATTTTTATACCAATGTCGTTTCCGTATACCGGCAACAAAAGCATCGATGTATAAAAATTAAAATGAGAATTTATTAGAGAGGGATAAAAATAAATATAGATGCTGTGTTATTCGTAGTGTGTGTTTCGTATCTTGTGTAAACTAAATAAACGTGATTGTTGTAAATTTTCGTTTTATCTGTTTGCAGACAAAGTTGCGGCGCCAACGGCATATTTTCCCGTCGCTTGGACTTTAGCGCTTTCAACAGTCTACCGCGAACCAAGCTGAATTCCTATCACATTAAGGTGAGTAATTAATTGCTTATATGATGACACGCGGCGAAGATTTCGCTTACCGATGCGCACGCTTTGTTCATGAGAGCGAAACATTCGCGACTATATATATTCGCGGAGTGATCAATCGATGATTACGACATGCAAAATGGTCGTCGAATTATTACTTTTTTTTATTGCTTCGCAAAGTGAAACGTAAATATTTCTGTCTTTCTTTAATATAATAAAACCGCGCTATATATAACACGTACAGAGATGAATATAAAATTCTAAACGAATTTGCGAACACACGTGCACAAGCAAGACGCAAACAATAACTTGATTGATGATGGTACATATATATAAATCAATATTATATGATTATATATATGTGTATATATATATATATAGTGGCCAGATTTAATCTCATCGTAGAAACTCGCGGAATTAATATCTCGCTTGAGAGAACCGTCCTTTCGACGAGCCTAAATCACGCATAAGCAACGCCCCCGGCGAAATCCTTTCGCATCTCATCGTGTAACACTGTCGTCCTACCCCAAATACGAGAGGAAATCAATACCGGACGGTTACGTGTATGTGTTTGTGTGTGTGTGTGTGTGTACGTGTGTTCGTGTTCTCTTGCGCACGCACGCACGCACGCAAACGCACGGTATGTGTACGTAACGCGGATACACGTACGTCGCGCCGGCAATGAGAAATACTTTTACTCTCTTGCGGCTTTTCCCTCGACCAATGTCCCGCGAAGTTCTCTCGCACGAATGTCAATTAGCGCTAACTCCTAGGTAACTAACGTGTCTACCTGCAACATCAGGTAACGCTGTAGTCCGGAAAGGGCTCGGGATATGTATCGTTAACTCGAGATTAGTTAACCCGAATTGTCGACGCGACGCTGTAAAGCTCGCTTACAGCGGCACGTCGGTTAGCGCTAATCCAGGTTAACTGACTCTTCCTTATCCGTCTATATTGCGGAGCAGTACTGTAATCCCGAAAGGGACAGCGAATCGTTATTCCGGGATTAGTTCAGGCCGTCGGTGCAACTTTGTTTAAATAGCGCAACCTGCGTACCTGCCAAGCATTTCCGCGAATTTCGCAAGTTGCAAACTTTGCAAATCTTCTCTTTAATTGCATCAAGAATATACATATGTAATATACATATACATACGCGTATGTACATACGTGAAATAATTCGTAGAATATAGTAGTGTATAATATAATGAAGAGAGAAGATTTTTTCTATCGTATATACGAGATGCAAACCAAGAGCATCCGGTTTTTTTAGATTTTTTAATTGAAGTTAATTTTATTATAATAGATTACAATGTATAATTAATTTGCTTTAAAAATATGTTCCCATACATTCACTTGGCTCTTACTGACCTTAATTATTTCCCTTATATTCAGTTTAATAACATTTATACACACAAATATATATACATATATATATCAATTATATTTCTATATTACATTTCGTAATGAAAAAACGATTTATTTTAATGAATAACAATGAAATATTATAAATGCAAACGCAGACAAGGTTTTGCATTATAAAATGTGAATTATCAACGAGTTGAGTAAAAAGTATACTAATGAATTATTAATCTTATATAAAATTACAAGTGAATAAATTATTATAAAAAAAATAATAAAAACAGCTATATTTCCATTTCTACGCTTGTCGTTATAATTGCTATCTCGATTTGTTGATAAATAGCGAACCTTCTCATGTGTCTACAGTGAAAAATATCGTGTCCGCCACGAATCTATTATATAGCCCCTATATTATGGCGGAAAGTAAGCCTTCTTGGAGAAAATTTACAAGTGATGCACGCTTCCAAACCCTCTTTCTCGTAATTCCTAACAAACTTTGACTTCAGACCTGGCCTCGACCTCTCCAAATTGCCTGCCATTTCGGCGCTTGTTTGTGGGAACAGAGAAAGAAAGGATGACTCGTAAGGCAAACGAGACGATTCTCCCCTCTGGAACTGGGGTACGCGCTTCTTGCGCGGGATTTCAAACAACTTTGTCCCGGATGGAGTAACCTCCTCCTTCTCGGCTTATTTCGTCAAGACTTGTCAGCGCACGGTTTCCGAAGTTAAAGAAGTTAACGACGCGGTTAATTAGCGCGTTCGAAATTTCGGAGCGATACATTCCTCGCGCGAATTTTATAACTGCCGTCGTCGATTGTATCGTTTATCAATTATTGTTGCGTTATTTTTATTATTATTAGCGTATGGCCGAAATACGAGACTTTTTTTTTTTTTTGCAATTTTATGTGTGAGGCCGTTTGTTGCGTCGCGTAAAATTCGTCTTCGCTGTTTTTATTAGAAAACACGGTGTAGCTTGATAAATTTTTTTTTTCCGGATTTACTGGCGGTGCGCTTTATTACGGTTCGACGTGGCGTTTATAGTCCGCAGTAAACTGCTTCACGCGCGCGCGCGCACACACACGCATACGACACTGACACACGAAACACGCGGGCACTATCCATGGAAAATCTAAATATATAAACGATATTGTGCCACAGTAGCAAAGAAACGAGAATATTAGCTAACTAATATTTAATACTTACCATCGCTGATAGTATCGTCAAACTATAATATCACTCGTTTATTAATGCATTCGCGCTTTCTATCGGGATATTTGAAGAAATTAAACGTGTTACTTTTTTCGCGTTTTTTTTATATTGCGTAATAAAGCTCTCAGTTCTCTCGAGCGTGTTCTGCCAACGAATCGCGGACGGCTCCTGGGTTCCAGTTTTTCAATAATACCGGTTCTTTCTCAGCTTTGCCGGTCGGTCGGCCTAACAACAGCCGTTAGGTAACACGAGGGAGATCGATTTTGTGCGCGCGAGAACGCGCTTTATTCGACCGTGCGTGCACGCACGCATCGCGCGCGCGCGCGTGTAACGGAGGATGATGGAGTTTAGGACCAGGGCATCATCGTAAACTGCTCTGGAAACCCCTCGAAACACCCTCCGAGTGTACCTCCCATGGCAACCGCGTCCCTGCAGTATTATCTCTCGCTCGCTAACCCTCTCGCATCGAGGGCGGATTCACCCCTTTCCGCGTTGCGCGACGCAAATTGCAAAATGCAAGGTTTGCCTTTTGCGCGCGATGTGCGCAGTGAAACGACACACCCCGGAGTTACTTGAGACTCAGGAATCGCCAAGCGTGAATTGGAAGTCATGGCGATAACTCCGCCGTTAAGATCCTCCGTCGCTATCACAAGACGGGGGGAAAAAGAAATCTTCCCTGAATGTTCTCCGCACTTTCGTCGTGTCGTTCTCTCGATTCGTTCTCACGATTCTTATTGTTTCCCACTTTCGATTGCAATAACGCGCGTTTAAGAATAACATAAGTTTCGTAAACGAGCAAATTTTTTGTACAAAACAATAAAAGGGCGGCACCGGAGATCGCGACGGGCGTTCTCGTGCGAATCTCGTGTGAATGACCTCGCGCGCGGTTGCGTCTAACGATAAATCGGACAGGAGGAGCAATGGAAATGGGAAAGTGGCGTGTGCCCCACGATGCCAGTAACTCGACACGTGGCTTACCTATATAGACGCTGAAACTAGGAGTGGCTCGGTGGCGTACGATTGCATTTCACGTCTTCGTCTCTTACTGTTATTCGCCTTCCCTACGTAATCAAACTCGAGAATTTCGTAATTTAATGTAACGCAACGCGTTCGCGCAGTAACAATGTAATATCCTCGACGCATCGATATTCTAGTTTGCTCTAATTTGCTTTCGCAATATTTTTTCCGGCTTAATAAATTTAAAAATATATTCGCGCACTTAAATTGGCAACCATTGGTTTTTTTTTTTTTATGCTGCGTCGTATGATCAAAATGCATTGTTATTTTGATATATAAAATTGCTGCGAAACGCTTCGCTCGCGGTAGTAGTTTATTTTTGTATAACCTCATGAATTTCTCTCGACGAACGCATGTACGTACGCGGTTGAACGACCTGAATATTATCATTTCGTCGAATACTCGATACGCTAAGCGCGTTACATTGGCGCGATAGTTTATTATTGCAGCCGCCACCACGCGAACCGCGCGCGGCTCTTTATCTCGCGACTTGGTAAATATTGTTTCTTGGGCGCTGTGACGAAGATAAATGCATCGAAATGTCAGCGGCGCGGCGCCGTCGATCCGCAGAAAATATCAAACGGACTAACACGTCTTACGGTACTTGTCTTTTTTTTTTTTTTTTTAATGATCTCTTCTTATCTAATTAATTAAGGTGAAGAAAATAAAATAGATGATAAAAAAAATAATCGATAATAATAAAATATCAAAATATCAACACAGTAAAATTATCAGATAAAAATAGAAATAATAATCTCTGAAACGAAAAATTCGCGGTTCTGTTATGATAAAATTGTTGTGACAAAACTATACTTCAAAAAAAAAAAAAAAAATAAATAAATAAAGTTGTTTTTTTTAATTAAGTTCAGATGTCGACGCTTATGTCGAGAGTTATGTATCTACACATATTCGCCGCTGCGAATGTATTACGTAGTCATCATTATCTCCATCTAGTCAACTGCGCGATAAGAGATCATTTCGTTAGCAAACATTCGCGAACTACGTTTGTTTTTTCTGGCAAGGACGCGAATTGCAAACTATAAATATGTATTGTCTCAAACGTTAATTTTTTTCGGCTTGTAATTCTATTTTTTCTAGATAAGAATTCGGTGCTAATTACTCGATCTTGACGCAAACATCTGATTTCTACAATGCTTAGTTGCCTTAATTTACTTTTGTTTCGTAATTATTTTTGTCAGATTTTTATCAAAGAAGTGTATATTTGCATGATTTTTTTTTAAATTTATATTTGCGCGTGCAATTCATGACTTTGCGCGATACAAAGAAAAATACAAAAGAAAGCCATAAAAACTGCAATGTGAACCAGAGCGTAAACGAAAATCCTTGCTAAGGATAGATGCGTAATTTTCTCAAGGACGATTGTTCTCATAGAACCCTCGTTGGTCTACACCGAGAGAG